GCTCAAATAATTACATTTTTTTAACAGCAAGAAGTCCGGTATTTTCTCATCTCAGCGTATCTCTTTATGGACTAACAACAATTAGAGCATTTAACGCTGAAAATAAATTTATTTCCACTTTTAATGAATATCAGGATAAGCACACTGCAACGTGGATCATTTATGTTTTATTAAATCGATGCCTGGCTATATATGGTAACATCGTTTGTTACATAAATTTACTTATTACTGTTATTATTTTCAGTATATCAATTCATCCAGGTGAGTAAATAGATTTATTTAGCTGTTTATAGTGTATAATATATGTAATTTTGAATTTATAATTGCAACTTTAGATGATGCTGGAAGCCAAATCGGACTTGTTATGAGTTATACAATGTTATTTGTTTTTCTTTTTCAAACTAGTATTAGGTTTACTTCTGAAGTGGATTTTCAGGTAACACGTGTACAACTAACTCGTTGTTTTTTATTATTCAAAACGTATAATTTTTAAAACATTAATCGCCTTCCACTACAAATGTCTTTACGTATGTATGTGCCAATATTATCTTTTTTCTATAATTAAAGTTGATTTTGTTAGTGAAACATTAGGCCTATATTTTTTATGAACTACGTGCATGGAAATCTGAAAGGGTATTTATCAGATATTTAAAGTTGGCGATTTGTCTAAAAATAAATTAAAAAAACAGCTTGAATTTTTATCAAGTCATTTAAAATTGTTAAAAACAGATAACTTTCTTATAGGAAGGATTTTCTTATCAGAATATTGTTCACATTTCTCGTCCTACATAATAAACTTTATAAGTATGAATCTGATAAAAAATTTGACATTTTTATCCATATTTTAATGTAATTTATTTTAAAATGTTATTAGACATGTAGTAAATACAGAAGTTAATATCTTTCAGAAAAATGAAATATTTCCGTTTCAACAAAATTGAATTTTCAGTAAATAATTATTTTATAATTCGTCTGAAAATTTCATTAAAACTCATAATATCAGAAATACTAAAATATGTACCATTTAAAGTCATAAGTATAAAAATTATTATTATTACATTCTATTTTACTTAATTAGCGAGAAAATTTCTAGTTAAATATAAGTAACCAAAAACGATGAAAAAATTTTTATTTACGAAAACTTTATACATTTTTAAATTAATTCATACATCTATCAAAAAAAGCAAGTAAATTTAAGAGTTCAAGGACAATAAAAGTGGGTTGATATGAACAAAGAATAACATGAAAAGAAGAGAAAACTAAATACGATATCTCCAATTGTGCATCTTCACATAAAGATACTTCCATTATCAGTCTTATAAAATTTAACACATTAATTTTAACTCTGGATAAAAAGTATTGTTACTTGAATAAGTTTTTTTGTAATGTGTTATTTCATTCGAAGTGAATTTTCCAGATGAATTCTGTAAAACGTATTCTGAAATACAGCAAATTAAAATCAGAAGCATCGTACGAAAGTTCGTCCGATAAACAACCACCCGCGGATTGGCCACAAAAAGGAGAAATTTATTTTGATAACGTTTCTTTACAATACTCCAAGGATAAAAATATTGTTTTGAAAAATTTAACGTTTCGTATTCATTCGGGAGAAAAGGTAAAATATTCTCGAAAACCAATAAGTGTACCTAAAAATCAGTGTCATAAATTATTTCTAATATTTATTAATTGCAGATTGGAATTGTTGGCAGAACGGGAGCTGGAAAAAGTTCTATAATTGCTTCGTTATTTCGCATGACGGAGCCAACAGGAACAATAACCATCGATGGAATTGATACAAAAGATATTGGTCTTCGGGATCTACGCAGTAAAATTTCGATCATTCCTCAAGTATATAATAACTAATTTGATGAAAGTACTTTTCACTTAAGAATTTTTAAATATATTTCTCTAAAAATGTTTTTTCTTTGATTTCTTGTAATAAAATTGAATATTTTAAAGTAAGATAAAATACAAAATGGAATAATATATTTTACAAGTGAAATCCACACGGTTAAATTGTTTGCAGGTTAATGGTAGGAACAACTTGACACATCTTAGCAAGAAAATCGCATTGTCGAAAATAAAACGCGTTCGCTCAATGGAATAGAGTTGAAATTGGTCCATACAATAAAGAAGCGCAGAAAATTTTATAATCAGTATAATTGAACACATGAATTTGACATTAATAATTTGATGTATCAATCTAATTAGACGTATAGAGTTGAAATTGGTCCATACAATAAAGAAGCGCAGAAAATTTTATAATCAGTATAATTGAACACATGAATTTGACATTAATAATTTGATGTATCAATCTAATTAGACGTATAGAGTTGAAATTGGTCCATACAATAAAGAAGCGCAGAAAATTTTATAATCAGTATAATTGAACACATGAATTTGACATTAATAATTTGATGTATCAATCTAATTAGACGTATAGAGTTGAAATTGGTCCATACAATAAAGAAGCGCAGAAAATTTTATAATCAGTATAATTGAACACATGAATTTGACATTAATAATTTGATGTATCAATCTAATTAGACGTAAAGCTTTAAATTCACTGCAATTCATTCATGCAATCCAAATTCACTATGTTAAGTGGATGTGTGACGTTAATATATGTTATACACGAAAACAAGAAGCCCAATAGAAACTATATGCATAGCATCTTTCTCGCAAAGGTATTATTCTCTTCACGTGTATTCAAAAACTCATGAAAAATCGACTATTGAAGTTAAGTTGCATGATTCTTTGTAATTTCCATAAAACTCTCAAAAAAATTATTTGTGATGGATGTCTTTGTTGTGTCATGACAATTATATCGAAAAATCCGTTTACGGATACAAAAATATACTGGAAATTTTTTAACTATAAAATGAATAATTGCCATGCGAATATTTAGTGTATTGGAATTTGTTTCTAGACATGTTCTAAACATTATGAACTTTCAACTGATTAAAGAGCGTGTGTGAACAAATCGTAGGCATGCAGCAGCATGAACAAATAGAAAATGTTTATCGATCTTCGCAAAACACTAACCGCGCATAATTTACTAAATATTGCAAAAGTACAAAATCATTTTGTTATTCGTCATTTCCTGTTGTCCCATTGCTGGAAAATTAACAAACCTTTATTTCATTACAAGTTAAATAATAAATTTAATAATAGTATTGAATAAATTGGATAGAGATTTATATATAAAAATTAAGTAATTTGTAGGTATTCCCCTGTTATTTCAGCAGAAACAGAGCCGAAACCTCAGTATTTCATATTACCCGACTACTGCATAATACCCTCCTCTCCTCTCCAAATTATATAAATTAACTAATTTGTTTGGAATAAATTTGAATTTCTGGAATATTAATCTTACCCAAAATATGCTAATGAAATAAGTGAAAAGCGTTAAATACAATTTATTGTATCCTGAAGGTAGACACATCGCGCATCTTTTAAAATAATTAATAAAATAAAAGTAATGTGACATTTACCACTATTGTAATCATAATACAAACAATCTCATAAAAATTTACAAAACGAATAAAATAGCGTGTGTACTTTTCAGGATCCAATGTTGTTTACCGGTGCACTTCGAAAAAATATCGATCCTTTCAATGAATATTCAGATGAAATTCTTTGGAAAGCTATAGAAGAGGTTAGAAACACACGCAATTGTTTTCTTTTACTCTTATATATATGTTCAATTCTTTTTAGTAGCCAAACTTTATCACCATCTTTTTATTTTATAACGTCTCAACTAAAGGTGCAATTAAAGGAAGTTATCAGTACGTTGCCTGGAGGATTGGATACACATTTGTCAGAAGGTGGACGAAATTTCAGCGTAGGAGAAAGACAGTTAATTTGTCTTGCCAGAACGATTCTTCGCAAGAATAAAATCATGGTCATGGATGAAGCAACATCAAATATAGATAAAAAGTGAGATTACAACAAATTATAAAAATTATTTAGTTACAATTGCCTTGGAGAATTCCTGACTACTGAAATATCGTTTGTACTTTCTTTTCCGAGTTAAAATAATTCTCACGTTAGATTTTAATGATTTAGGTGTCCGAATGTTCAGTAGAACGCTGCCTTGTGCATACTGTATTTTTTGGAAAATATAATTAACTCTCAGATAGGATATAATTCAAAAAACGCTTAATCTTTCACGCTTAATAACATAGAGATATTTTGACATTTTTAGTGCTGTTGTTTTGAATATAAAGACAGACCTTTGCTTCATATCGTTGCAGAGTGAAAAGAATTTCGGTTAAACAGTGAAAAAGTTATACGAGTTAAAAAGAAATTTTTCTTTGAGCACAGATTTATGGAGCTTCATTTCTTTGTTACACAAGTTGATAATTTAATTTTATTGCCAATTAGGAATTGTTCAGTTATGCGTTTTTGTTGCTTAAGCAACATAAAGTGCAATTAATCGAACGCTATGCATCCTTTTATAATTTATTTGATTATTTAGTTAATACGCGTTGTTTACACGTTTCGGGCCTTATGTCGCCTCTCATCTGCCAACTAATTTCTAAAAATTGTGTCGTGTAGTAATTAAGTACATTTCTTTAAGATTAGTTCGCTGAAGAGAAGCAACATAATGCCCGAAACGTGTAAACAACACGTTTCTACTAAATAAATAAACAATATTAAATTCTAAGTAAAAATTATCTTTTCATGCAAAATGATTTGTACATAAAATAGTTTAAATTCTTTTAAAAAATTATAAAAANGTTGAGGAAATGGCGAATCAATAGTAGAAGGAATTGTTATATTATAAATAGCATCTTCAGTAGCTTTTAAATCTTTTGTAAATCTTGTATAGGAACCTCTAATTTCTCTGTAATGGTTTATGAAACTTTGAAAGACTTTTTTCATGTTTTACTTTACCGAATATTTGTTTTTTATTTTTTTTCTTAGTGCACTATTCTGCTTAGCTAAAGTAAGTAACGCTTTCTTTGTCTTCTCATCCATTTACTAAGCTGCAAAAAATTAGCTAAATTTAAATGTATTTAGCACAAGCTGAAATTTTTTAACAAAGAAATGATTAAAATAAAAGATAATTCAGAACCGTATGAATACGAAGATCCAAATCAGAATTTATTATTATTTAAATATCTATTCAGTCTCTTAATTGTTGGTCTGTCAGGTTATGGAAAAACAAATCTTTTATTAAATCTAATTTATAATCAACTGAATTTTGATGCTTTATATGTATGTGCTAAAGATAATGAACCAAAATATGAAAAATTTCAAAAAAACTATAGTCAGTTTTATGAGTTCGAAGAAGATATATTGAGTGTAAAAAATAGAAAGTTATTACAGTTATTTAAAAAATTTAAAAAGGAATCGTTATTTTGTTCAAGCACAGAGGATATGATTGACATTGATAGTTTATATTCATCGATAAAAAATCTGATTATTTTTTATGATTGTTTTACTGAAAAAGATCAATCTAAAATTGTACATTTCTTTATCAGAGGAAGGAAGAAAAATGCTTCAATTATTTACGTATCTCAATCCTATTATTCAACACCAATTGACATAACAAGAAACTGTAAGTATAATATTTTCTTCAAGATTCAAGATAGAGAAATGAAACAGATAATTAGAGAAATAGATGGATCATTTTAAAAAATTTATATAGTGAAGCTACTCAAAAACCATACAATTTCTTTATGCTAGATCTCAAAAACCCAAAGATAACGTATCGACGTAATTTTACTCTTTTATAAATCGTAGAAAAGAAAATATATGCTTACAGAAAGAGTTATCATATAATTAGTATATTATTAACAGTTGGAAAATTTATATTTAGTCTGTGTTAGTACTATTAAGCTTGGGAGCTGGAGTAGTTGAAGTTATACATAAATCATGAAAATTATCGGAAAGAAAAGAGGAGCATTTATATTTTATAAATTATTCAAAGCTGGGAGCATATCAGAATCTGATGTGTTTTTGAGAGATATTTTCCGTTAGAGAAATATAGAAAGAATGGTTATAAATTATTGAATAAATAAACGAAGAGAGGAAAAGGTGTCGTTAATGATATGATAAACAGATTATCACTCGAAATGCATTTACCTGGCCATTCATGTACGGGTCCAGGACTCAACTATTATGGAATAAAACTAGATTAAATCCTGATTTATCCTACAAGTTATGGAGTAAACCAATAAACAAAGTAGATGAAACTGCATATAGACATGATATTTGTCATTTGGAAAATAAAGATACAAAAACTAGAAATGAAATCTGTGATAAAAATATGTTAAATGAATTAGATGCTATAGAAAACTTTTTACTTAGAGAAAGAATAGATAGAGGAATTGTTGAACTAATCATTACTGCAAAAAAGAAATTTGGCCTTGGAATTTCTTTTAATATCTATTGTTTAAAGTGTAAAAAGGAATCAAAAACAAATAATATTATAGAAACGAGAAAAAATATTAAACCTATAGCAAAAGGAACGTATGCCGTTTGTGGTACTAAAAAAGCTGTTTTTTATGAGTTCGATGAGAGTAGTTTATTACAATGCAGAAACTGGTTACTGTGGTATAAATAAATTACAAAGAAAGACTGGTTTACGAAGAAAAGATATTAAAGAATTTTTACATCAGCAGGATGAATATACTAAAATAAATCAATTATAAGAAAATTTAGTAGAAGAAAAACTTATGTTTCTCACATTGATTATCAATGGCAAGCAGATTTATTGGATATGCGGAAATTAAAAAGTTATAATGATAATAATAATTATATATTAACTGTTATTGATATATTTAGTAAATACACTTGGGCTATTTCAATTAAAAAGAAAACGGGTGGAGAAATATCCAAAGCATTTGCTAAAAGATTTAAGAAAAGAAAACCGGAAAAGCTACAAACGGATTAAGGAACTGAGTTTATCAATAAAGTGACGCAACAGTTGTTCAAATTTAATAATATTCATCGGTTTACTACAGAAAATATAGAAATAATATGCTCAGTAGTCGAAAGATTTAATAGAACTCTAAAGACGAAAATGTGGAAATATTTTACTGCTAACAACACTAAAAAATGGATAGATGTTTTAGATAAATTAATTAAAAATTGTAATAACTTTTATCATAGATTAATAAAAATGACTCCTGTACAAGCAAGTATAGAAGATAACGAATCGAAAGTTTATGAAAATTTGTTTAAAAGAAAAATTATTTAACAATCTTTCAAATATAAAGTAGGTGATACGGTTAGAATATCTATATATAAACAACTATTTAAAGAAGGCTATTTACCCTCCTTCACAGAAAAAATATTTATAATATCAAAAGTGTTGAAGACGGATCCAATTACTTATCGAATTAAAGATTAAAATAATGAAGATATTAAAGGAACTTTTTATGAAAATAAGTTAGTGAATGGATGGAATGATTAGATGGATTTAGTGGCATTCATTATTTTTTACTTACAAACGTATTAGATAATAACGTTTTGACCTTGAAAATCTGTAAATAGAGAATAAGAAAATTCGGTAAACCCCATTCAAAGATGATGAGTTCGAGAACAAAACATTTAAACTTGTACAAAGATGTAAAGTATCTACAATTGTAGTAAAGCTCGTACTAATTACTGAACTTTATTTTAATAAGTTGAAAATTATAGAATAGTCATTCTTATTTACAAATGTCTGTCAGAACTGTAAGTAACCGAAATAGTAAAATAATTGACTAAAGTATAAATTTTAGTCCGTTTACTTATCTGATTTAACTTTTAAAAATGTCACTTAATGTAAGTTTATAATTACAAATTCTTAGATTATTCCAGGGCTGTGGAGTCGGAGTTGGAGTTATCAAAATCCCCCTGACTCCGACTCCTTTTTTTATTTTTCGAGCTTCTTATGTATAAAAAGAACGAAAAAGTATTTGAATCGTGTACATTTCTTTCTTTAAATTTTTTGCAAAACTTTAGGTTTGGCCACCTTTTGAACCCAAATAATGTCATATAAAAAAATTCGCGTGCGTACATTCGCGTCTAATATGTTAAATTTTTTTTATTCTGTTTTGAAATTTTAAACAATATCTCAGAATTAGTAAAGTTATAAAAACAGAATTTGGAACAGTAGCATATGTAAAACGGGCATTAATGCTATCAAATTTTGGTACTTAATTAAAGGTTGAGACATAGAAGGAGTCATGTGTCATATCTCTAGTGTGGTCGAACCTAATGAATATATTACTGGTTATTAACAGTCATAATCTAAATATCTAAAATTACTTGCCTGATTGACTGACTCAATCATTCACTCACTGATTCATCATCGCCCAGAGCAAACCGCTGAACCAAAAGATGTGAAATTTGGTACACAGTTAGGGTACATCATGAAAACGCTCACAAAGAAGAGATTTTTCGAAATTCCCCTGCAAAGGGGAAAAGGAAAGGATTAAGTCTTAACCGGAAAAACGGCTACTACTGTACTATATTAAATGCGATTTTTTGTTTTATCTGCGTTTTAGTAGGGTACGCCTTGACAATGCACACTAAGAAGGAATTTTTCGAAATTCCCCTCGGTGGGAGAGGGAGAGGATTTAGTCTTCATCGAGTACTTAGATGTATTAAATTGGTAACATTTCAGACATTGTTATAAATATTTTTATCTATTTCGGTTAT